AAAAAAAAAAAAAAAAGAAACAATCATCTGAGATTGCAGCAAGGGAAGTTTAAGTTATATATTAAGAAAACTCTCTCACAAGGAGGGTAGTAAAGCATTGCTCAGGTTACCCAGAGAGGTTGTGGAATCTCCATCCTTGGAGGTTTTTAAGACCCGGCTAGACAAAGCCTTGGCTGGGATGATATAGTTGGGGATGGTCCTGCTCGAGGCATTCTTCTTCAGGGCCGAGGAAGAGCTTGCTTTTCTCTTCAGACCTGAAGAAGAGAGCCCTGCATTTGAAAGTTTGTCTAACATTATACCAACTATGCAACTGGCCTACTAAAAGATATCACCCCAAAAAATCTTTGCCTCAAATAATTTCTGGACCATCATAGTTAATATCATTAGCATCACTCCAACACCAATATGGCAAAAATACCAATATATCACAGACCAGAAGAACTTTCTTTTCTTTTCTCACTACTATTAACATTGCAGTTTATATTTTAGTAAAGGTCCTCCCTGTGAAACAAAACTTCTATACCCAGCCCTAGATATTACTAAATATGTATAAAAGGAATGTGACTAATATCAAGTAGCTACAAAAGGCTTGCATTAAAACCAAACAATGTTACATATATGTTTAAACAAGCATTTGTATATACTTTATTATTGAAACTTGGAGGCGGGATAGGCACAAGTGTAGGATTTCTCATCTAAAAAGAGGACATGATGAAGAACTGAATGCATTTACTTCCATCATGCTCAGCATAAAGCAACTCAAATATTTCATTTCCGGTATAAGGATTTATTTTCAAATTGCAAAATCAGCACTTCTTTACGTGCAGCTGCAAATTGTTGGTCCTGTCATGAGAAAAAGAATGATATTCTTCACTTCCCTTGTGATTATCAACAGTACAATTTTTCAGCTAATAACCATGATTACTGTTGACAGTGCTTCTTATTGTAGTTAGTTATATAAAATACAGCTGCACACTTTTCCTTTTCTTGCTCAGACTGATTTAGACCTCTGTATTTCAGTCTGGGAAACAGGAATTGTGCAGGATTCGTTTGAAGTCTACTACATTTACTTGGAAGAGTTCAACAGCCTGACAGTGAAGATATGAGTAAGAATATATCTTTGATTATCATGTTACAACATATTCTGAATAGGTTCCTGTAAACAGCAAAGGAGCTTTGGTTCATAAATTAACATCAGAGAAGGTAAAAGAAAAGAAAATTAATCTTTATCCTGTAGTTTACCTATTCCTTAAGAAAGAAATTCAGTGCACCAGCATGAAACCCAAGTAATCAGACTTTTATGCAGGTGACCTGCACAAGAGTTTGAAGGAGGGGGCAGGGAAGAAATTCACTACCCACTTCACTAGGTCTATTTGGAAGCATTCCTGCGGTAGGTGTTCCAGTTTCTCAGTTAGAATACCTGAGTAGCACCACCATGCTGCTAGCTCAGGGTATTAAGGTATGTATCTCATGACCTCTCCCTTCGATTGCCAATCACCACCTTGTTCCCTGGCCTATACAAGCATTGCTGCAATATGCCAGGAGTTCAGAGTCTCCCCTCCCTGATTATCAATTAGTGTCCCCATATCCCTGAAGTCACACCAATGGGATGAAGTGCTAGAGGCAAAAAAAGAATTTAGGATAACTTTATACAGTAAACTTTCCATGTGCCTCCAAGCTCTGCAGACCCAAAAGCACAGCCATGTCCACAGAGTGCCACAAGCACAGGGCCAGGTTAACTGACCATGACAACAGTGATGACCAGCCAGGTTTACACAGAGCAGCATGGCATGGCCAAGGGCACTGCTCATAGGCACACCAAATTGATTGTTTAGATGTGGCTATAGGCACGCAGGCAAAACTGATGTAGTTAAACATTGATACACCGCAGAAAGTCCCTATTCAGCAGGTGCCTAGATAGACAAAGTGCCTCCCTGTTTGCCTGTAAAAGTTCCCTAGGCATCCCTTCCCTCAGCAAAGTGCTGACCCCAGAGAGACTCTTGCACAGGGTGAGTTTGACACCCCTTGATGATAGTGTGACATCTCTTCTTGTGTTTCCTTTTCCTGGCCCAAGGACTCTGGCACACTTTTCCACAAGGTGCACTGCTTTAATGGGAGGGGTGGAAAGTGCCTCTGCTCAGACTAATCTGTAACCCAGTGGTTAGACCAGTCTTTTGGGTAATGAAAAAATATGGGTTTGATGCACTTGCTCAGGCTGTACAGAGAACAGACCAAGCCTCTTCTTTCCTGAGAAACTCAGCTCTAACCACTAGGCTATTACATTAAAAGTGGGCAGGGCCCACCCACTATCTCCTTTTCTGTCTATGTTTGATCCCTGCTTAGTTTCTGGAAAGTATGATTGTAGATTCTTATTGTCGGTAGATTCTTATTATCAGGAGATTGTCAGGAACCTGCTTAGAGAGGGGCGGGTTTTAAGAAATAATTCCCTGTGCAGTGGTTCCATTTGCTAGCTTTAGCCAGCATGCAACTAATCTAAACCGCCATTTGGAGGCACCTAACTGTCCTCATGCACTATATATATTGGGAGCTTAAGTACCTACTCAAGGTTCAGGTACTAGATACATAAGAGTAACACTGTAGTGCCTAATTTTTCGGTGCCCTGGTACTTTAATTATGTATTATTCTAAGTGCCTTAATTATACAAAAATAATGATATAAAAGGTATTTGTAAATGTTAGTTACAGCAGTTTTCCTCATATATAAAGCATGACATTTACACTCCTAGTTTCACTTCACTTGTAAACAAAACAAATAATACTTGTATTCTGACACTTTTTACCTTTTGAAACCAAGCTAACTATATGGATTTGTCTCCAGTTCATGGAACAAATCATTTGAATATCTTGTTTTATTAACACATGAAGTACAGTTTGTTAGTGCATCTATATATCAAAAGGAAGAATCCAATAACAGGTTGTTCTTGCAAAAAAACCCAATATTTATAACTCAGCTGAAGCAGTGTATATCTGGAATAACTCCATTTACCTATGACACGCAGCTGAGATCTCTATCAGGTTAAGTAACTGATCATCTGATCAGTGATCCCATTTCTTTGACAAATTCTGCTTCTCCGAAGTCTAAACATTTATTTTTGCCTTGAAGTTTCCATTACAGCCCCTTGATGTCGCTTGGAAAACACTTTGCAACAGATCTCCATTGTTTAGCATACTCTTATGATTGAAGTGATGCTCAAAAAAAATGGAGTTTGTACTTTGATATTGATACAGAGAATGGATAATACAAAGTAAAATCCAAAAATTGTGAATATAAAAGTCCCCCAAACTATCATATCTCCCAAAAAACAATTATTCATTCAGTTTTGAGTCGTACAGTTTTGATTTTAGAAGGACGAGAAAAGGTATAAGCTCTGGTGAGATTTCTACCTATTTGGTTTGTTTTGGAATTCTTGTGCCAGGGCACCTTAATAAGTGAATGGAAGCAAACATAACTTTTTCATATATAATTTGCTGTTCAGGAAAGTCAGATGGACTAAAGACAGAATATGTTGGTGATCTGATGTTGAATGGGAGCTGCCTCTGCAGGTAGAGAAGAAATAAACTAGGTATTCCTGTGGGTCAACTTTTTTTTCTAAACTAAGCTGCCCAATGTGTATCCCAAATGCAACTTATGAAATATTAGGATTTGACCAAAAGTTGCATACTCTTATATTGAAAAAGTTAATGACAAAAGTAGTCAGAGGAAGATTTATTGCAGGTGCATTATTTACCAGTGCAGCCTGCAGAGCCACATTTAAGCAAATCTATTCTCAACTAAATTGATCCAAATCTTATAGCTTTTCTACATGGTGTCTCTTAGGAAAGTTAAGCCCAATTAAAAAAAGACATGAATCAAAAGAACATTTAGTTAAACTACATTAAAACCCTGTGTGGCTGTTCCAACTCAGACAAGGAGTATCCTTGCTTACTTAATTGCAGCTGATGCATAGGCCATTAAGGCCAGGTACAGACATTACACTTTTACTGGTATAAGTGATAGGAAACTGGTCTAAACCCGTAACAGAACAGAAGTTCAGCACACAGACTGGTTTAAAAAAAATGGAGGAATCCAATCTAAGATTTGCCCTCTCCTCCGATCTAACTGTGCCATTTACAGCATTTACAGCAAACCATGCAACTTAGATTGATTCTGCCTTGGGCTTTTTGAAGGTCTGTCCTTAGCCTAATAGTTTAACTAAAACACTTTAATTTTGGACCTTTTGTTAATTCAGTTTTTCCTTTCTTAGTGTCCCTGGGTAAGCAAGCCCATAGAAACATTTTATAAATTAATTTGACTGATTAGCAATATTCCTACTTTAGGTCATTTAATGACCAAATGCATCACTTACAGAACATGCATATGGCAAGACAACATTTCATCAGAATAATTCTTACCTCCACGATCCCGTGCTGCTAAATTTTGTCCCTTCTTCAATGTGATGTCCAACTGGTACATTCCTGGATTAGCTGACAGGAGATCTGCATTACTGGACCCAACTGCATTTGTTCTCTGAAAAAAACCCAAAATAAAACCTGTAACTGGATGGTTCACAAAACACTATTAGCAAATTCATAGAAAAGTACTAATTATAACCCAAGTTATACAGGACAAATTGCAAATTGGAAAGGGGATCTAAAGAGACTACATGTCATAAGAGAAATGGTTGTACTCATGGGGCACTTGTACACGTGATGCCACTACCATGTACACGAGACAAAATTGTCACATTGTGTGGCTTACTGGTGTCACACTGTACATGTGCAAGAGGTTGGGTTTTTTTTAAATGAGTCTGCATTGTTACAAACGAAATTACATCCTGATATAGTCTAGTTTGCAATGGTGCATTGCAGCTATTAGTCAGCTCACCCCCCTGGGCCATGGGGGAGGCAAGCAGGCTCTGCAGAAAAAAAGGATTGGGCCCCTCACTGCATGTGCCTTCACCAGGCACCTGCTGAAGGCAGAAGCGGTGCGGGACCCAATCCCTTCTTTGTTTTTGGCAGAGCCTGCCTGCCTCTTCTGTGGCCCAGGGCAAGCTGCTGGTGGGCTGAGAAGCTCCTGAGGTGTGGGGGACCCCGGTCCTTCCCTCCGTGGCTACAGTGCTGCCCGGGGCTGCCTAGGCAGGCTGCAAGCAGGCTGAGTGCTACCCCAGCTCGAAGGCAGCACCTGGCCCAATCCAACTCTTCCCCAAACCCAAGTTAGGGTAGCACCTGGCCTGCTAGCAAGCCCACCTCAGTGGCCTCAGTGGGTGCTGCCACCATGGAGGGAAGGACCAGGGCCACCTGCAGCTCAGGGGCTGCTTGGCCTACCAGTAGCACACCCCCCAGCCATAGGCAGGCTCCACTGACAAAAAAAAAAAAAAATTGATAGAAAAATAAAACCCCTCCACTTCAATTAAAAACCCTCCATTTCAAATTAGGGGTGCAGAATGCAACCCTAAGCACTAAACCCCTGTCACATGTACAAGCACTCATATACAGTAACTACTTAGAGAACTTTGGGAACAAATGTCTAGTACCATTGGACTATCCATGTCAATCACATTCTAACAGAATGATACCTTTTTAAATTCATACCAAAGTAACTACAGGTATTCTTTATAACCACCCATTCTTCTCCAGGTCTATGTTCTATTAAATTATCTCTAAGTAGACCACATAGAGCACAGACAGTCAAAGTCCAGCCCACAGGACAGATCCAGTCAGCAGCAGTCTCCATTTCCCAACAGCCCCTGCCTGCATGGCTGGGGCAGTCTCCATGGAGACCCCAGGGCAGCAGCACTGTGAAAGCTCAAGGCTGGGGTTGCCATGGAGACCAGCCCCAGCTGTGCTAGTAAACTGGTGGTAGACCAGGGCAGGGGGCTGCTCCAGAGCCACTAGGATCTTGCAGTGGGGGCAGCTTGCTCGGGAGCCAGGGCAGAGCTGTGATCTGTAGTCTGAATGCTCCAGGCAGAGGCATGCAAACAGGGGGTCGCATCTCTGCGGTGACAGCCTGGTCCAGAGCAGGGGCAGAGCTGCAACCCCCTGCCTGCACGGCCCTGCCTGGAGTGTGCAGGCCATAGATCGCAGCTCTGCCCTTACTCTGGAGCAAGCTGCCTCCATTGCAAGATCCCAGCAGCTCCAAAGCAGTCCCTGTAACAGGGAGCCCCCTTTGTATACTCCCCTTCTGGGCACTGATATAACAAAAGCCCATTCCTGCCTACATCCCATCCCCTTTTGTGCATTTCTTTTTCCTTCTAAGTACTGGCAGAGACCTAGCACACTCATTGAATGGGTGTGGCAAAGCTCAGAGCAAGCCAGAAAGCTGAAATGGTTTTCTGTAGGAGAAACCTACAAACTACATCTACATATCAACTGAGCTAAGTGTCTCTAAAGAAAACAAAAGAACTAAAATATCCACTTCAAAGCAAATCCTATAAGAGGCAAGAAAAGCCATGATGCATTGAAAGCATGACTAAATATATCCTGGTGAACCCATCCCCTCTTCGATTAAGAACTATTTCCCAAAGCAAACTTCCCAAACCTGTCTAAAGTTTTATGCTAAATCAGTCTACATGACTGCATCTAACCTAACTCACTTACTGTCCCCAGTGGCCTTTGATCCTCACTACCTCACATTGCATTTTCATATTTTGTTCACAGTGCATTTTTATATTTCACGTCTCGTCTTTGCCCTGGCATTCTGTATTTTATGTTTTATACCTTTTAACAAATGTATTTTTCTTTAAAGTCATACCTTGTATTATGAGAACTATTATTATAAGAATACACTGGAATTGTAATCACTGGAATTGTATTGCTGTATTGGGCTAGTCCCCCTGAGTGAATGTGAGTATGTATGAATCAGTAGATAATTGAATGACAAAGCAATTGCCTCTGGCTGTTAATTGACAATAGCCTAGCCACAGGAATTTACCGTTACAAAACTCTACTCTACAAGCCATTTTAAGCTAATCAAGCCACCTGAAACTTACAAGGACACAGCCATTGAGTCAGTCAAATCAAGGGTGGACTCCCAAAACTGCACCATCGGGCAGAACCCCCAGTGACTGTGACTAACACCTGTTATGCACTACTCAAGACCCATGTGGGATAGCAACCTCCAGATTGGGCCACCAAGATAATGCTGGGGGAATCACACAAGTCTACCAGTGAAGGGATAAAAGGCAGTGAACCGTGACCCTCAGCAGTGCCCTCTTATTCAGCACCCGAACTACCAAGACAGAAGGACAAGCAGGCGACCCCCTCCTGGAGAAGACATTGCGCTGAAGGAAGCTGACCATCAACAGCAGATCTGCAGGGCCTCAGAGAGGTACATATACTAACACCAATGCTCTAGCAATCACTACAGCAGCTGTTATACTACATGGGTTTGAATGAGTGAATGCATGTGTGTGCATGTGTGTGCGCGCGCGCGCGTGCACACTAAGGTGACCACTACCCATCATAAACCCCCCAGAATTTGCATTTATAATGTTATTAAAACTTCACATCCTGTCTAATAAACTAGAATTTATGATGATCCTGCGAGTTGGTCCTTTGTAGCTAACAATCCCTGCTCTGCTCTGCCTGCACTCTGCAGCCGGAGCAGCCATTTTGCCCACCACTGATGTACAGTACAACTTCACAGAAAGCACACAGTCATTTTCAAAGTAGAGTCCCTATTTTTTTTATAGCTTTTGCAAATCCCTTTAATTTATAACTATTTAACTCTGATATTGTCATGTCAGATAAAAAGTAAAGCATATGGGACAGAAATTGAACTTCACTTAGTTTAGGGAGTCCCTTTCCTGAAGCAAATGGAGATGCACTGGTGTGAAATGAGAAGTGTTAAAAAGAGCAGCTTTCCAGGTACGCATGATATTAGTGCTTTTAGCAAAATGTAAGATGTTGCTTTTGACCTGAAAATCCCTTAAGGACCCACCATTATCTACACTATCCAATCAAAGAGATCTCACTTATATCACTGAGAGTACTTCAGCTTTAGAGCTAATTTCCCATAACTTGACCTCAAACTTTTCCAGGCTTCATTCTCACTAACATTTCTTTATCTTGTTGAGTAGCCTACTGTGCATATTGCGCAGCCATATGGATGTGTATGCTGAATGGGTAATAGAATCACAAACTGTGCATGAGCATCAAACATGCCACTTAACAGAAAACAGCTATTTGGTCATATAAAGTGACACAGAATCCTACTTCATGTCAATACAAGCTTAATATACTCATTTAGTTAATGAGTACAATGGTGATGCATAGGGCATGCACGGGGGTGCACATGCACCCCTGAGAGTGCTGGTACACCCCCAGACCAGCCGTGCTCGCTGCTTAGACAATGGGCAGGGGGGCAGGCGGGAGCGTCATTCCCCCCTCACTGCCCCTAAGGCATCACCAGTCACCCATGAATGAGTGTATTTATATTTTATTTATTTCACAGTAATTAAACTAACATAAGTAAACATAATCAGCTTACGCAATGAATATTTTATCACATGATTTTTGGGCCCTGACAACAAATGTACCTGCAAGTTACGAACACGACGGAAAGGAACACAGATAGAACTCACTTCTCCATTCCTTCAAAAACCTTCTGAATTATAATTTTCCCTCCTTTAGTTTTTCTTAAAGTAATAATAAAAGAAAAATAGTAAAATAAATGTTGACTAAAAAATGTATCATAAGCAAGACAGTCTTGTAGCCATAAGCCACAGACCTTAATACTAGCTTTTATCTTATATTTGCTATAGGCACAAAGCTGACCAAAGCACATAGTGACATTCTCATATCTTGACAACATGTTCATGTTTACTCTATTCCAGTCACATGATTCAGATAGACTATTATATTTTTTTCCTTTGGTTAAGACAGCTATTCTGCTACGCGTCTTCCTTTTAGATATACAACTGATTTTGTTATTCCTGAGTCCTACCACTTCACAGGCAGAGTGCAACTGTTCACTCTTTACTTTTGTGATCAGTTTTCACTCATCTGTATAAGCTGATATTTACCATTATAGGGAGAAGAGCTATATTTTTAAAATAAAAGTATTTAATGCTGAGTAGCTGTTCCATGCAAGAGGAACAGCTCAGTGCTTGCAGACTGGCTCTGTCCTTATCTATCCATGATGACCATGTGACATGATACTGAAATGATCCTGACATAAAATGTTCCAAAACGACAGTAATTTAAAAATAAAACAAACTGTTTCCTGCCCACTATCTTATTTTTCACTTTCAGGGAGTATATGAAACAGAAGATATACCACCTGCTGTAGCACTTAACTCTTCCTTGACTTCTTTCCTGCCTGCGCCCCATCAGAGTGCAGGTGGAGCAGAGCAGGGATTGTTGGCTACAAAGAACCAGCTTGCAGGATCATCATAAATTCTAGTTTATTAGACAGGATATGAAGTTTTAATAACATTATAAATGCAAATTCTGGGGGGTTTTATGCATCTCCAGAGAAGTATTTCCTGTTTGTTTCTATTTTGTTTTGTTTGGGGGACAGAGGGGAGA